ACGGCATCAACAGTATGGTGAGGGGCGTAACATTTCCGTCACACGCTTGAGGTATTCGGCCAATCACAATGTGCTGGATAGCTGGCCAATCACAGCACACCTTGCTTTTCAGCCCGATGAGCTTTGTAAAAATCGACGCGTTTCAGAAAGGCGGGGCATAGAGGATAAACAATAATGTACAGTATGTGGAAAATAATGAACCTTAAACCACATAAACACATTTCATTACACATTTCATTACACCAAATATACAAAATAATGTTCTTTTTAGCAACATCATATGACCCCTTTAAGTATCTGATTGGACAATAAACTGTGTAGTGCAGGATGCATCATCAATAATTCTGGTCCAGTTTCCTTGATGTGAGAGACTGCAAATTTTAAATGTTTCAAATTTAAAAAGTACACTATTTTTTTTTTTATGTAATATTGTGAAATATTCTTACAATTTAAATAAACGGTTTTCTCTTTTAATTTATTTTACAATGTAATGTATTCCTGTGATGCAAAGCTGAATTTTCAGTATCATTACTCCAGTCTTCAGTGTCACATGATCCTTCATAAATCATAATATGCTGATTTGATGCTCAAGAAACGTTTATTATTATCTTCAATGTTGAGTTGCTGCTTAATGTTTTTTGTGGAAACCATTAAACATTTTTTTCAGGATATTTTGATGAAGAGAAAGTTCAGCAGCATAAATCTTTTGTAAAATAAAATTTTTGATCAATTTAATTCATTAAAGTTTTTTTTTTTTTCTTTTTTTTTCTTCAAGTTAATGACCCTAAACCTTTTAACAGTAGTGTATATATGACCTCAAAGCTAACAGACTTGGACTGAAAGCCACAAAACACAAATTTTGACATTATGGGGTTTGTTTGGAATCATCATTTGTTTATTCTGGGTATGATTTATTAGAGCAGAATCATACCAACAACGGTGTTCTAATAAATCCCACCCAGAATAATAAACAAAGAAAGCCTTGCAAGAAAAAGGGCCTCAAAAGCCAGTCTCACAAGATCCCCAGCATTTGTCTTTTTATTTTCATAAACATTCACACAATTCACCCAAACACACCCAGTCAGATTCTTCCCCCCGAGGCAACTCTAAACACCACTATGGATTTGGATCAGATTTGGAGACTAGATTATAAAAAAGAGAAAAGGGATAAAAAAAAAAGTCCAGAGTGTTTGTGATGGCCAGTTTATTTTTAAGTTTTTATAGCCTCACAAAAAAAGTCCACCAAAATAATCAACAAGTCAAAAGGAGCAAAACAAGAAAAAACAAAAGGCAAGCTAGTGATGGTTAATGAAGACCATATGCCTACCTTCACTGGTAGCTGCATTCTTTGGAGCTTTGGTTGATGTCTGATCTGTACTTGAACTCAGGTCGGAGGAAATACTGGAACTGCCTTTGCCTAAAATCACAAAGAACACCCCAGGACACATCAGGACACCCAGAGCAACAACACTAATAGAGAATCAACATATTAGCCTCAAAAAGCAAAAGCCATAGAAAGAGATACTGTATGCAATCAGCTTATATTTAGCATACTTGCACATCTCTACATATACAATGCTCACAATACACAAAACACAGCATTAAATATCAAGACTTTATTTTATCTGTCAAGCGTGCATAAATAACATAAATAGGCCTATAATAAAAATGAATGCAACAGGGTTCACCAAATCTTACGATGAATGCCAGGCATTCTTTTTCTGTCCATCACAAACTTAGAATAACAAACCAGATGCCTCCCACAGAGACTCCCCAATGGCAGGGACAAGAAAAAAAAAGAAAGCTGAAGCTTTTTACAAATCACATTACGGAAAAACTGTGCCCAAAAAAACACAGGCCCAGCTAAATTTGAATTAAGAGTGCAAGATGAGGTACCGTTCAGTTGAGTTGATCACATTAAAAAATTCCATGTTATATAAAGATGATAAAAGTTACTAGAAAACTAGAAGCCAAAAGAACTTTTTTGGTGATGATGCCATTTTTTGGAATGTAACATGAGAAGCCTTTTATTTTATAATATCTGAAAAAGTTGATTCCAAATGAGGAAAGCCACAATAGTAAACCTTAGCCTCATGTTTCTTTGTATTTGCAGTTTGATTAGTCGTGCTGATTCCACATTTATTTTGCCAATAACCAGCAGAACAAATGTATTTCTGTTTTTTTTTTTTTTTTTGGATAACGGTAAACCTAAAACAACATGCCCTGGTGTGAAAGTTTCCTAAACACTCCTGTTTGTTTCAATGGCACTTGAGAGCATCAGGTCACATATGAGGCATGTTTACAGGCTCGATGAGAGAGAAAACACAACCCGAGTTCACATAAGCTTTTATTTGACCATAAATGGCCTGACTGATGGAGCTTCCACATGCTGAGCAAAAAATGTGTTTTGCTCTGTAAACAAACCTGTTTTTCACTAAATAGTCTTCTAGTGATATCACTAAAGACATTTCAGGCCCGTTTTTTTAAATGATCAGTGAAATCAGTGAACCAAAGTGGAATCTGCTCAGACACCCACCTTCAATGCAATGTCTGGTTACATCACATGCATTGTTTATTGTTCATTGTCTCTGAAGAATGTGCTTCATTGCTAATGAGATTAATTGACTGAACGAACATGGCATTGATGGAATTCTACAAAGCTATTGCCATAGATGCTCAACCATATGATTCGCATGAAATTTGAAAAAATAAGCAAGCGCTTTTTATGATTATGGAGAGAACACTGAATACAGGCTTACTTTATGAGGAGCAAGATATTCATAATAAAAACAGTGTGGACTTTTAACTATCTTTTTATATGCAAGGTACAAATGTTAGATAGAAAGACTCTCTAAACCAGTTCCAAAGATTGCAGTGTTACAATTACATATAATTACCAACCAAATTAGTTCTATGTTCATATACAGTATGTGACTGAACACTTAAAAAATAAAGGCCCTTTTAGCATCCTTAAGACAATCATTGTATTATTTGGTGTTGGCTTGATTTATTTTGTTATTATTCACTATATGTTTGACTGGTTTCCTTTGGATAACTTATTTAGGTAAAAAAAATGGTTGCACTGGAATAGATCCAGAACATCCTGATATTATTTTGAGGAAGAAAATATGGTCTTTGACTGTGATTCCCTCTGTTAGAGGTTCATATTAAACATGAACAAACATTTGCTTTAAAGCATTCATGATGCATTAAGTGCTCATACTGTATTGTTTGTAAAAAAAACCAATGCTGAAAAACAGAAAAAACTGAAAAACTGGAATTATTTAAAAACATCTCACAAGTGAGACTATATCTAAGTATTTAATGCATTGAAGCCACTTAAATACCACTTAATGTGGAAAAGTGTATATTTACTATTTGTTGACTTACAAATTGCAGTTTTTAATGTAGTGCATTTGAATGAAACACAGACATCATCTTGTCTAATTATGTTTAATTAAATCAAGGGAGGTCCTAAGTAGAAATAGCTAAACTAATCAGTAGACAACATCAACTTTGTAAGGATCTCAACAGCGAAAGATAACAGCAAACATTGCAAAAGATTGTGATATGTGAAATATGTAAATTGGAGAGCTGCGTGTGGGGAGTTGTTGGTTTTCTCACTGAATGCCAGTCTTGAGGGCCAAACCTTGACCTTCCAGAGAAATCTGAGAAGTCTCTCACGCAGCCAAGAACTCACTCTGTGAGAGCAAAATCTCTGGCATGAATGCTCATGGTTATTAGGACACAATCAGTAGCAACCTTCAACATTAATATTTTAATGGACACTGGTCAGTCTCTGCCCTGACCTCTAATCGCTGTCATATTCCTATATGTTGGGGAAAAAATGCAGAAATCTGCCCACAAGCTAAAATGATGGTATGTGTTAGGCCATGATTCACAGCTTATTGAAGTACACACACCCTCTGTTGATGGTTACTTTAGTAAAACCATTGCATTGTGCACTCTGATGTCAGCACACACTCGTTTCTTACTAGCTCCAAACCTAAAGCTCTTTAGGTCTCATAAATCTACTTTAAGAACCATGCTTCCTTTTTAAAGCAGCAACAACATCTTCTTTTTGTCTGTGACAAAAGGTAAACAGAGAAGGATATGAGTCCTTTCATGTGCATTTATACTTAATGAATTGGACAACAAAAATTAGATGTAAGGCACTTACTTATAAATATTTATATTTATAGCTGGATTGTTAAGCATAAACACCAAAATTCTCAAACATTAAAAACAATGAATAATGTTACATTTACATTTGTTTTAGGCATGTTTTAAGTAGGCTAATGGTGACATTCTAATGTATGAATTCTATATTCCTATGCAGAAAATTAACTATTTAAGCACCAGGGCTTTCCTCGGTTCAATCTAGCAAAATGCAGTTCAAACAAATGTGGGAGAATTATAATTATTCTGACATAATATATATTTCTATTATATATATTCATGTGATATGTGTATTTAATGGCCCAATGCCAGAAACATCAGAAAGTCTTTTAACTGCAAGTTTAAAGGGTCCCTTAAAATGTATCAAAACCTATAACAGAAAATGACAAGTATGCTCTAAAATATAGTTGATACAAGAGATTTCTGCAAAGCTAGTGTTGCCCACAAAGAATAAGGGGGAATAGTGACGTTGACACAACTATGGCTGCTGTACACCGAGATTTAACAGTGGAAAAGCAGCATTGTGGCTGGCTGTGAGAGTTTGATTCTGGCACTCACCTTCACTCCCGCTCTGTTTCCCATTGTTCGCACCCATCCTGTGGAATGCATAATCTACCGTCTGCGCTCCGGAAAAGTATCCATATGCGTAAAACACATACGATTGAAGAAAAGATGTGATGAAAATCCGCCAAAGACTGCTTCCAGATACAGTTCGATCCTGTAATGCAACTAGAAAAGTAGAAATAATGGCAAAAGTCTGAGCAACTATTATGCAATCGGTTAAAACTCAACGCAGTTCCACAAACGTCAGTTTTAAAACTGTATTGCTTCAGATACAGTGTTGGCTATGCATTTTCTTCATGTTAAAAGCTGTTCGTCTCCAGACAGCCAGTCATCCAAAGGAGAGACTGGAAACCAGATACATCAGGAGCACGCATACGCTCTTGCAGAATCTGTTACCATGAGTACATGAGCGTCTGCTGCGAGCGCGAGTCACTTTGACCTAATATCCTCCCTCTTTCCTGTACAGTAACGCAATGCTTTTAAAGCCACGATGTCTAATGTTGTGGCAAGCCGTTTTAACATGCATTGTTGAAGGACAACTATTTTAATATTACTAGTACATATTTTTAATTGCCTGTAGTACTTAGTAACTACTATTTTTTTCTATTTTACTATAGCGGTTCACTATATAGTAGTAGCCTGGGTATGGCAAGTAAGTTTATATTTATATAGTACACAATTAACTTCATACACAATGTTAAAGGTGTCATATGATGTGTAATGAAATGTGTTTATGCGGTTTAAAGTAAAAAAAAACACATTATTTTCCACATACTGTACATTATTGTTTCTCCTCTATGCCCCGCCTTTCTGAAACGTGTCGATTTTTACAAAGCTCATCAGTCTGAAAAGCGAGGTGTGCTGTGATTGGCCAGCTATCCAGTGCGTTGTGATTGGTCGAATACCTCTAGTGTGTGACGGAAATGTTACGCCCCCTTACCATACTGTGATGCCGTCAGGCCGGAGCGATGATTCAAAAACATGAAAACCCATTATAAATGAGGCATTTGTTGCATCCAGTGGGGACATAATTACGGATAGGAAAAATTTTAATCGCATCATATGACCCCTTTAATTCAAACTGATTTGTATAAAAGTGATTTAATAAAAGTGATTTTTAAAAGTCAGGTTACATAAGAAACCTTTTATTACAAAAGGTAGTGTCTAGTAGTGCCACGTTTTATATATATTCCATTAGTCACTGTACTTATCTCAATAAATTGACAATTAAATATTCCATTGCTACTACAAATGGCAAATTGTCATTCATTTTATTAATGACTAATTTTGCTCAGACATTTTAGTTTTACTATTTATTAGTAGGCCTACTTATTTCTTAGATAGTCAAAAAAGTTAATATCTATAATTAAAATTATTTATTAAAAACTCTCTAATGTAGCCTATATTCCAGTTGATACAACAAATTTAATTTCAGTGGTAAGATTTTGATTGACCAATAAAATACTTATTCTGATTAGTCATTACATTATTATTTACTTGTCGTCAGATAGGAAACTAAAAAATGCTACTAACCTACTACTGAACTGCTTATTAGTATAATAATAATAATAATAATCAGGGTGCGAACTACGGGGGAGCTAGGGGGAGCTCGGCTCCCCTTAATAAGACATGGGCTCCCCTGAAAACATTGCTTGCATAAAGCAAGTAGTGCATACACTTGTAGCTGTTATGTATCTTTGTAAGTCATTGTAAGCCCTCTTTTGAGGCACGCGCACGACCCCCCCCCATAAAAAAAAACAAGTGGGCTCCCCCAAAGTCCACGGTACAGTTCGAACACTGATAATAATAATAACAACAACAATAATAATAATAATAATAACAATAATAGTAAAATAGAAATAGATGCTAGTAATTTTAAAAGAATAATTGTTAAAACGGTTTGCCATAGTGGTTATTTTTATACAATGTAATGCAATGGAGGAACTGGTAAAGAAAATCGACCAATAGACTAAGAATATGGAATTTAGATGTCAAGTACATCTTCAAATTTAGATATAAAATACATCTTCAAAATATAAAATTCCACAATATCAATAGGCTACGTTTGTTCCTAATTAAAGGGGAAATTAACAATAATTGGTATACTACTGAAACTCACTAACATGTCACACAATTCATAACCTCCAAGCTAGGTGGCGACACAAACTCTTTATGACAGCACTACTTTCCTCTACCTCGTGGATGAAAAGCGTCAGCCCACAACAGAAGAGGCAGAACTTGAACCTGAATATGCTGTAAGTATTTCATAGTTTCCGGATAACTTCGCTTTTCTTCACTTAAACGGTCAACTGTTATCCTTCTCTTATTTAAAGCAAACAGGAAGAAATGTCACCGGTATGTAGAAAACCATGGCTTTAACCAAGCAAGCTGACAAGCCCACGTATTTATGAGCCGGTGTGTAAAAACAACGCGATAATCTGGGCACTGATTGATATTCTCGTAAGAATGTGTAGAAGGCTTTATGTTTATGTATGTAGTATTCAGTAGTGTTGCGCTAAAACCACGCCTTAGCGAACTTATTCATATTTATAGACCTTCTCATTTAAGTACTATGATGTTTGTTTATTCTGCTACTTAAAATAGTCCTGTATCTTGCTTTTGCTGCCATTAATGGTTTATTTTAAAAAGCGAAATCTCGGGAGGTCTTGTCCATTTCCGTTCCATTTTCTGTTTGAATCATACAAGACCCAGAAAATTCTAGATTTCAAACGCTTATGTTGATTTAAAGGAACAGTTCACCCAAAAGTGGAAATTTGCTGAATGTTTACCAAGACATGGATGAGTTTGTTTCATCATCTGAACAGAGATGGAGAAATTTAGCATTGCATCACTCTGCAGTGAATGGGTGCCATCAGAATGAGAGTCCAATCAGCTGATAAAAACATCACAAATTTAGCATTACATCACTCTGCAGTGAATGGGTGCCATCAGAATGAGAGTCCAATCAGCTGATAAAAACATCACAAATTTAGCATTACATCACTCTGCAGTGAATGGGTGCCATCAGAATGAGAGTCCAATCAGCTGATAAAAACATCACAAATTTAGCATTACATCACTCTGCAGTGAATGAGTGACATCAGAATGAGAGTCCAATCAGCTGATAAAAACATCACAATGATCCACTGGACTCTAGTCCATCAATTAAAGTCTTGTGAAATGAAAAGCTGAATGTTTGTAAGGAACAAATCCGTGGTTTATTATTAACATCTATATCTTAGATGGCCGGAGGGTGAGTGCATTTTCAGCAGATTAAAATTTTTGGTTGAACTATTCCTTCAATTGTAATTTTCTATGTAAAACTGATTTTTTTAGGAATTCTAAGCATTAGCTATTATTCATAAATGTAGTATACAAACATACACATGTTGTCACAGTTCTGTGGTCATTATTTAAGTCTTTTTCTTTCTCATTCTGTAGGAATAATGTTCAACAGCAATGGCAACTTACAACACGCTGCAGGACCGGATCAGAGTAGCCAAGGAGCTGCTTGAGCGAGTGGACAAGATTTGCAGTCGCCAAGGCCGTGAGGTTGAGGGACGTGCTAAACTCTGCAGTAAGCTGCGGGCTGAGCTCAAGTTCCTGTAGAAGGTGGAGGCCGGCAAGGTTGTGATCAAGGAGTCCCACCTGCAAAGTACCAATCTCACTCATCTGAGGGCCATCGTCGAATCAGCCGAGAATCTAGAGAATGTGGTGAGCGTCCTGCACGTGTTCGCGTACGAGGGCCCTGACGGCCAGAAGCAGACTTTGGTGGTCGACGTGGTGGCGAACGGCGGACACACTTGGGTGAAAGCCATCGGGCGCAAGCCGGAGGCGCTGCACAACATCTGGCAAGGCCGTGGCCAGTACGGAGATAAAAGCGTGATATGACAAGCAGAAGATTTCCTTGAGGCCAGTCGGCAGCAGCCTGTGCAGTACAGCAACCCTCACATCATATTTGCCTTCTACAATATGACTGAAAAGGGCTGTAAATGAGACATGTGTCAGGAGATTTTTGTGTAAGATATTGACAGAGATATATTGTATGAAGATGGTTAAAGTTACATATGATGCTTAAAACCAGACACTTGTGAGAGGCACTACTGCATAGTTCCAAATAAATTGCACAGCTGATTGGATATAGACACTCAGCAATCTTTATGTAAACTCAGTGACCTCAGTGCCTCGAATGCATCATTTCAATGCAAAGCCAGCAGAGATGTCAAATTAACCAAATGTGTGATTATATCAAATATATAGTGTCAAAACAGTGTTTAAACAGAGGCATATACTTTTATTTTCAAATCTCTCGACTACATGCCTCAGGGTTATTTTACTTTAAATTGTAGTTTCTTTTCACAAACCTGATTTTTCTTAGTTAATCTTGTTACATCCATTTTCACCAGAGTACCAAATAAACACACTTCAAATGGCTTTACCTCATGATGAATAATATCTCCTTGTGATTCATTGAAGACAAGTTATGTTGTGGTTTAACACATTTATAGTATATCTATTCAAAATAAATGCTGTTCTTTTGAACCTTCCATTTATTTAAGAATCCTGAAAGATATGTATCATGGTTTCCACAAAAATATTGAGCAGCAGTCATCAAGATTGATAATAATGTTTCTTGAGAACCAATCAGAATGATTTGTGAAGAATCATGTGACACTGAAGGGCTGCTGAAATTTCAGCTTTGTAATCACAGGAATTATATTTTAAAATATATTCAAAAAGAAAACAGTTCTTTTAAAGTATAATAGTATATCACAATATGACCGTTCTTGTATTTTTGATCAAATAAAATGATATAAACTGCAAAACATCAAAAGACTGCACACTTTGTTTAAAATTAATATATAAAGAATAAGACACTTTCTGCTGGTGAATAATGTTTATTGTTAATATGAACTACACAGGTGTTTATTCTGCTAGGACACCTGTGTGAACATGCAGAGAACAATGAAAATGTCCTTGAGACCAAGGACCAATTAAAAATTATTGGAAATAGTTCCTCAGAAAAGTAAAGTTGGCTCTAGCATCATTTATTTGCAGATGCCTCTTGTTATGATATGGTGCAGGTAATTAAATTAAATTCAGATTGAGATAAATATTTTATTTCACAAACTAACTAAATAACGTTTCTTAATTCTATTAGTTATGAAACTAGAAAGTTACTGATATGACAGTCCAGCTCACCATCACTACGGGCTTCAGTAGGAGATCTGTATGTAATTTGTCAACTTCATAATCACATAGCAGTTTTAGTGGCTAGATTTTTTGGGGGGTTGAACTACTATAATTAACGGCCTCTAACACTAGCTTTCTCTATTCTTATTCTATTCTTTTATTTATTATATAATTATTAATATAATTGGGCTAACTGAGACTTGTTATAGCACTTATTTTGATTGCTTCTACTGTCCTCATTTGTAAGTCGCTTTGTATAAAAGCGTCTGCTAAATGACTAAATGTACAAGTACATGCCTATTAAAAAGCACATGCATATTCTACTGGTCTTCCTGGCGGTGCTGTACAGTTATCCAGGAGACCTCTAGGCGGACAAATTTCTTGTAATGACATCGCAAAACCTAACATTTTACTTTGAGTCTCTACTGTACACCCGGTACTGTAGACGTATCATCGACAAGAAGACGCTGGAATTACATAAAGTTTTAAAACAACACTAAACTATTTGTAGTTGAGAAAGACATCGAGTTATGTGGCATTATTTAACACGTTCAGGTCTTAGCATATACGAACATTATTTTCTTTCTATTCACAAGTAAACTGGTAGTCTGTGTGAAGACCAAGCCCAGCCAGCCTAAGCTGTCAGCAGTACTGCTCCCTTCTGAGTCATGCATTGAAGCAAAACAAATCTGCTCGTAGCTGCAAAGCTAACAAGACGCCGAACACGCAAGTGCCTGTTCATTTGGTAAGTATCTGATTTGTACACACTTTTTCTATAACTTTTATTGTGATAGCACACTGCCATTCGTTTATTGTATTAGATGGTTTGATATACCACCACGTACTAAGTTCTCAAGTAGTTCGTTTTCTCCATTAGCTGTGGAGTGCTAAAGCCAAATCCTCCCTTAAACACGGAAGTGGCAGTTAGCGCGCTGTCAGTATTTAAATATAACAGGAAAATCAGTCGTGATTTTACTCCCAAGTACCCGCGAACTACAGCAGCAGCCCCTCGTGCTTGTCATTTTGACACAACTGAGTTAGCCTGCTAGCTCAGCAGCAGTCATTAGCTGTATCAATGAGCACTTTCTGAATGGTCGGGATTTTTGAATGATAGGACCCCGGCATTAGAATAACCTAATTCCCTCACTAGTTTCTGTTGAGTGAATTAATACAATTCACGCATGTCTTGTTTTCCTGTAAACGACTGTACAGGTGTCAAATATCACGCGCATGTATTGTAGCCGTTGTTCAATTGTTATGGAATGGATCACGACCCAAAGGCAAGGCAAGTTTATGTAGCACATTTCATACACAATGGTAATTCAAAGTGCTTTACATAAAAGGAATTAAAATAATCATAAAAAATAATCACAACAATAAAACAAGGAAAACATTTTTTTTAAATAATCTAAAAAGTTAAGTTTGTTTATTTATTTGTCATAGAAATAAGTCCTCCGCACCGTTCGTAAAAGATATCTGCACATACAGTTACATTATAGCGACTCTAACAGCACATATTTTAGATTTTAAATGATGCTGCTGCATATAAAGGCCGTTGGAACCTGTGTAACTATTCATAAATTGTGACCCTGGACCACAAAACCAGTCATAAGCCAGTCATAAGGGTCAGTTGGGGGTCAAAATTGAGATGAGATCCCATCTTATTTGGCTGAGATACAATTATTGGAAAATCTGGAATCTGAGGGTGCAAAAAAAATAAAAAAATAAAAATACTGAGAAAATCGCCTTTAAAGTTGTCCAAATGAAGTTCTTAGCAATGCATATTACTAATCAAAAATTAAGTTTTGGTATATTTACAGTCGAAAATTTACAAAATATCGTCATAGAACATGATCTTTACTTAATATCCTAATGATTTTGGGCATAAAAGAAAAATCAATAACTTTGACCCATACAGTGTATTATTGGCTATTGCTACAGATATAACCTCTTTATGGCTATACACTTTATGCCACATTGCAACCCTGTAACATTCTCATGTGTTATTAAAATGAACCAGGGCCACAAACAAAAGCCTACTGAGGCACCTTTATAGAAATGTGATGCCCCATTAATCAAGTGCTCATTTAAATATTCCATTCAGTTTTTTTCTCACCCTTTGTGCCAACAAACTTGTTAATGTGGCGTCAATCATGTGGAAGCAGTCAAGGATCCTGCATAAGGTATGCCACACCCTTTCCATATACACCACAGACGAGCTGTGTAAACCTAAAGCAACTGATGTTGTTTGCAGTCTGCACTTGAGTCAACAGCAGTAATCCTATATGATTGTGTAGTGACTCCGCCTATGATTTCAGGTTTTCAAAGAGGTTTTTTCTTTATATACTCAATACATATAATCACATTACACCTATGACCTATAGTCTCACAATCTGGACAGTTGGCTCGTGTTTTAAAGTTTGGATTTATTTGGCTATATGGAAGCATAATTCCACATTGATTACATCATAATTGAATCCACATTGATTACATTTGACAGGAAGATTGAAAAGGATAGTTCACCCTGAAAATGAAAATTCTGTCATCACTTACTCACCATTTATTTGATTCAAAACCCGTATGAATTTATTCTCCTGTGGAACATAAAAGACGATATTTTGAGAAATGTCCCATTAGTTGTTTTTTTTTGTCTATACAATGGAAGTCATTGGTCACCAAAACTGTTTGGCTATCAACATTCTTTAACATATCATCTTTTATGTTCCACAGAAGAAAGTCATACAGGTTTGGAACGACATGAGGGTGAGTAAATGATGACAGAACTTACATTTTTGGGCAAACCATCAACAGTTCTTTAAGAGAATTGACAAATGTATGTGATTTTTTGCTTCACTCTAGTAAGCAATGATGTCAGTGTCAGTTAGGAAGGGAACCAACAAAGCTTTTATGAGAAGCCTCATTGTTTTAGCATTTTCTCAGGGGACCGAACAGAAAGTAGGCCTGTGTTATCATCATTATTAGCAGGGTGAATGATGGGAAGACAAAGTACCACCCCAAACATGTCTGACTCACTTGAAAGGGTGCAGGTATATTATTAGTAATGAATGTTGATAATTGTTCCTGAATGACTAAAATAGTTACTGCTGTACATAAAGCACCATTCTTTATCATCTGCTCTCTTCTTCTCGAAGTTCTTCCTTCTAGGTTTCCCTTAATACCCATCTACCTCTGATTTTTCACTACTTCTTCACTGCATTGCCACCCATCTCTCGTTGCCTGAAGCCATGGCTGCTAACAGGAATGCTTTGGCCCTTCACAAAGTAATAATGGTGGGCAGCGGTGGCGTGGGCAAGTCAGCACTAACACTGCAATTCATGTACGATGAGGTAAGACTTAATATTTCGGAATTTCACATCATGTGTACATTGAGGTTAACCACAAAGTATAATCGTGCTGATCTCTTTCAAAGTTTGTGGAAGACTATGAGCCCACCAAAGCTGACAGCTACAGAAAAAAGGTGGTTCTGGATGGAGAGGAGGTTCAGATCGACATCCTCGACACAGCGGGACAGGAGGACTACGCTGCCATTCGGGACAATTACTTCCGCAGCGGAGAGGGATTTCTCTGCGTGTTCTCCATCACAGAATCTGAATCCTTTGCTGCTACTGCTGATTTCAGGTAGAGAGATGACTTGAAAACTGGTGATTAACACAACACTGGTAGTTGGTTCACAAACACAAAGTTGGTTCAAGATGGCGCCGAGCATGGCAGCCGTGTTGCGAGCTCCGAGAAAACTCTGCAGTTTTTCGTTTGTTTTACTTGTTATTTTGTTGTTCTACGTGTTGGATGTTGTTAGTATAACTGTCTACGATAGACACACGCTTTTAAACATTGGCTCCTACGTCGCGCAACGCAAACCGGACTTTGAGTTCTTGAACGCCGGCGCTCTGTTTACAGACACCGCATCAGAGCCCTTTGTCTGGGCCGCACGGTCGCGACCGAGGAAACGCCGCCGGAAAAGGGGGAAGAGAGCCGGCGTCCTTGTCAGACTCAGACGTCGTCCCCTCCGACCTCCTCTCCCAACCATTTTGCTGGCTAACGTTCAGTCACTGGACAACAAACTCTGTGAACTGCGGGCACGCATCTCATGGTGATGTGACAATAAAAGTGACTTTGACTTTGACTTTGACTTTGGTATTGCAGGGTACAAGTCAAAAGGTTGGCGAAATATGTTCATGCAGCAAAATGTTTTTTTCTGCATGAGTTTTCTCATTTTATCTCTAAACTTCAGAGAACAGATCCTTCGGGTAAAAGAGGAGGAGAACGTACCTTTCCTGCTGGTGGGAAATAAGTCAGACTTGGAGGACCGACGGCAAGTTGGGGTGGAGGAGGCCAAGGCCAGAGCAGATCAGTGGGCAGTCAGCTACGTCGAGACTTCTGCCAAAACCCGTGCCAACGTAGATAAGGTAGGTCTTGCAAAAACTGGTTTGGCAACAATTACATGTGATGCTTTTAGGGATAGTTCAGTCAAAAATGAAAATGGTCATTTATTCACCCACATGTTGTTTCAAGACTTTTTCTGTGGAATTTTAAAAGAAATTGTGAAGAATAGGGCCTTTCGCACCGCGGGAACCTTTTCATAGTACCAGAACTAATTGTGGAACTACCCACTTTTTGGCATTTTCGCACCGCCGGAACTGGGTGCGATTTTAGTAACCGGGCTGCCTTTATCGAGAACCAAATTAGCTCCTACTCCGGAGCAGGGTCTAACCAGCACAACTGGTACTAACCGTGCTTCCATCCTCCTGTTGTTAATGTTGTTCTTTGTTTCTGTTGTTGAACGCCACGCACAAATGACGTCGCTGTCGACCGGCTTACGTCACTTCTTAGTACACACTCTCGGTGCGAATGCAACCCTTTAAATGGTACTGGGAAATAGTCCCAGTACTTTAGTACTGTACATTTAGTTCTGGAACTAAAGCGGTGCGAAAGGCCCTATAGTTCAGGTTTGGATGACTTGAGGGTGAGTAAATGATGACAATATTTCATTTTAAGTGAACTATCCCTTTACTGAGCAGAATGAATCATTCTGTATTAGCAGTGCTAATGATTCATACAAACATCATAATCTCTCCAGGTGTTTTTTGATCTCATGCGTGAAATCAGAGCCAGAAAAATGGAAGATGGCAAAGAGAAAAATGGAAAAAAGAAGAGGAAAAGTTTGGCAAAGAGAATTCGAGAAAGATGTTGCATTTTATAACGACTGGGTCACACTATAACACTAACATCTTTTCTCTACCCTTCCACTGCTTCCAAACAAAATCCATCAGGTTTCATCACATTTAGACCTGTCGCGATAACTTTTTGTTGTGCGATATATTGCCCCAGAAATAATTGCGATAAGCGATATTATTGTCATTTTAAAGACCATTTTATGCCACTGAATATATAATCAATGTAACAGCATAATAATGCAAGAAGGCCTACACACTTCCAAATGACAACAAACTTTTAATTTTTAAAAATATTTAGATCATGGAAATTAAGTATCAAAATATTAGATACCTTAAAGGTGACATATTAAGCCCCTTAACTTGGGGCTGAACAAACACAAAAGAACCGCTAGATTTAAATCAGCACAGCCAGCGAAGGATCGAACGCAACTGTTTTGAACGAGCGCACCTTTTATTTAACAACCAAAAAGTTTTGTTGTCTGTTGCGGAAGTACAGACGTTCCTCTCGTTGATAGCAGAGGAGTGGATCCAGCGAGAGCTTGATGGGGCGACGCGGAATGAAAACGTTTTTCAGGAGTCGCGGCAATAGAGGCGGCGCAACTATAACGACATGTGAATAATCCCGCCCACTCTAAAGCGGTACTGAACTGCAGTGGAAACGCAAACCGTGCCAAGCCGAACTGTGCCGTGCCGTACCACGCAGTGGAAAAGCGCCATAAGTCTCTGGTGTCCTCAGAATGTGTCTCTGAAGTTTCAGCTCAAAATACTCCACAGATCATTTATTATATAATTTTGAAAATGCCTATTTT